TTATCTTTGGCTACAACAACATGGACCAATAACAAGGGCGGCTTCAGCCCAAGGTTGGACAGGCGGTTGCTGGGCACTTGTCCTCGCAGAAGAATTTGTGTGGTTGTAAGGGTGCAGTGGCCTCTGTGCAAAGCTGTAGTTTTCGCAGTCTTGTGATAGTTTTTGTTATCAAGCATTCCTCTGCCTTCATGCCCTTCCCCAGCTGTGTGTGTGTATGGCTTTGTTTTTCTTTTTTGAGACAGAGTCTCACTCTGTCACCCCAGGCTGGAGTATAGTGGTGCAATCTCAGCTCACTGCAACCTCTGCCTCCCGGGTTCAAGTAATTCTCCTGCCGCAGACCCCCGAGTAGCTGGGATGACAGGCGCCTGCCACCACGCCTGGCTAATTCTTTTTATTTTTAGTAGAGATGGGATTTCACCATGTTGCCTAGGCTGGTTTCGAACTCCCAAGCTCAGGCAATCCACCCACCTTGGCCTCCCAAAGTGCTGGAGTTACAGGCGTGAGCCACTGCGCCTGGCCGTGTACGGGTTTTTGACATAAGTGACTCTATTTTGACTGACAACTTTCACAATAATCAAATTACCAGAGGGACCCCACCCTTTCCCCTTCTCTCTCACACCCTTCAGCCTACTGCCACCTTGCAGTAGCCCCCAGCTCTCCATTCAAACTGCTCTTGCCCTTGTTGATAAATTCAACGAATTTCTCCCTTGATCTTCCTGTCTGCTCTGTGGCATTTTGATGCTTCAAACACTATTTCCCTTAGCTTCACAGAAACCAGTGAGATGTATCCACTATTAGGGGAAGGGCCACGTCTGTCCTGGCCACTGCTTTGGTCCTATGGCAAAGTGCACTGCTTGGCACAGTTGTGCCATATATTACACATGGCATGAACAAACCATTACCCACACACACAAAATTAAAACAAAACCTCCTGACCAACCTCACCAGAAAAGTCGGCTCAATAATAGCACCGGCAAACTCACAAAAGACTTCTTGATGTGCAAATAGCCAGAAATAAAGGCAGAGGCCATCAGTTTTTAAATAAAGCAACCTTGGTTGTGATATTGTACCACCTTTTTGCAAAACATTACCATTGGGGAAATCGGGTAAATATCAATGTTTATACAGTCTATTTTTTTTTAAAATTACATGTGCATCTTCAGTTATTCATATGTAAAAAGTTTAATTTTAAATACAGCAGAAGTACAAACCTGATCTGTCAGCTGAAGAAAACATCTACCAACTGGAAAATCACTAATGGGTAAATCAAACAAATGCTATGAGACAATTGGTCAGGACATTTTTTAGTTGCAAGCTACAAAAATGCAAATAAACCAACATAGTAGAAGGAGGATGTACTGGGCAGCAGTAACTCAGGGCATGTTACACACCTAATGAACCAGTGGCTGTAAGGGAAGAGGTGGAAAGCAGAATGCCAATGGTATGGGTGGTTGACGGTATTTGGAAAGATCTTACGAGAAAGAAATGAGCCCGGAGACAAGTTTTCCAGTTTGTCAGCAGAAATTAAGGGACAGTCCAGATATTCGAGAACCTATAATGCTGAATAAGTAAACTAACTTGGCTCCAAACAACAAGAAATAAACGCAGAGAACAGTGGCATGACAAAGGCCTAAGTGTGCTGATTAAGGAGGTGGTACCCAAGCAAACATTCCAGCTGGACAAAATGGCTCAGGGGAAAAAAGTCTGGCCTTTTTTTTTTTTTTTTTTTTTTTTTTTTTGCACAGAGGCCCCACAGGTGTAAATCTAGACTCAAAGTTTAAATCTAGAGAAGCATAAGGGTAAGGGAGTGAAGAAATACAGCAGATTTGAGAACTGAGTCACAAAAAAGAACTGAGTGTGGCTTCTAGCCCATGTTACTGATTGGAATCAATCAGGTAAAATTCCTACTACATTTTTGAAGCTCATTCTGACAAAAACAAAACAAACTCACGAGCCCAGGTTCCAGAAGTCTCTGTTCAAAACTTAAAATGTTCCTTGGGTCTCCAATCTCCTAGAGGATGAGGATTGAGAAGGCTGCACAACCTCTAACAGATTCTTGAATGTGTCTCCTGGGTGTGGCCGAAGAGGAGGAAGGAAACGCAGGATAATGGAAAAAGAAAGAACCTAGCAGAGGGTGAAGCCAGAGGCCACAGAGGACAATGGAATGGGGAGACCCCTGCTAAAGAATGGAACCCAGTCCTAAACAAGCAACGCCTGCCAGCCTAGGTGAAGAGGCCTCACCGCGGTTGCCCACGGGGATTCTGGAATTGCTATGGGGCAGGAACGGCAAGGTTTCTCATTCTTTCCTGTTCTAAATATTCCTGTTGCTTATCAGGTGGGATGTTGGGCAGACAACCTGAGTTTTAATTCTTAGGTCTAACAGAGGAGCTGCCTAGTCCCCACTGTAGAGATGTCCTCAACCTTGGGTTGGACGCAGTGACTAGATGGTACTTTGGGATCTTCCATGGAGCAGGATGAGCACCTTTGTGGGGAAAACCCACCATATATTTGGCAGTCAGAAAGACTAAAATAGACTTCTAGTACGCACCCATATTTGATTCTCCTCTTCTTCTGGGAACTTCCAAGGGACTATGGGAGAATTTTTTAAACGACATACTGGTCTTGCCCTTCAGGAGCTGTCACACACACACACAACTATGAATTAAAATGTTTCCTAAGCAAACGTGATTTTTAGTGTGCACCTGCAGGGCTTGCTGGGGCCCTCCACATCTCCGAGTCTGGGGTGGGGGCCCCATTTCTAACAAGTCCCAGGGTGATGCTGATGCTGCTGGTTGGGGATTATCTGTTCAGAAGCACTGTTGTAATGGATCTGTTAGCACTTACTCAGTTCACTGTGCTAGTGGGTGACACAGGATGCATAGAAACCTTGACCCTCCACCCATCTGATGAGTAAATAGAGGCTAAGGCAAAACGACGGAAACAGGATAAAACCATTCCTTAAATTTTGCTACAGAAGCCACAAACCTCACTAAAGGCCAAAAGATAAAACGATCAGGACTGGGTTGAGGTGAGTTGGCAATACCAAACATCTAAGCTGGTAACTGGAAACGTGCCAGAAGCAAGGATCTCCGTAACAATCACAGATGCTGTCCCAGACAAAAGAACTGGGCTTCAAAATGATACCCGTCTTCCTGCCTCAGCTGACCCCCACCTTACATGATGGGGCTCTGAAGATACTCATGACTGCAATTGGCTTGCAAGTGTTGGTAATATTTGTTCATGTATTAGCTCTGTGTTTTACTGGGCTTTTGCAAATAGCAGCGGTTTTTCCAACTAGAGAGAGAGAGAGGCCTAACTGGCTTGAGGTCAGTGACAGCTAATTTCTTGTTTAGGAATGAATTAAGCAAGGGTGTGTTTAAGAGGTGGAAGTTTTTGGTGGTCTTGTCTTCCTCAGGATCTCAGAACATACAGAGTTTTTCCAGATTCTGCATCACAAACCCAATTAAAGCATGAGAACTCAGTTGAGGATGCAAAGACGCTTACCTGGTGACCAGTTCCTGAGGAGGAAGAGCCTTTCTTTCCCCTAACCTTCTAGTGCTGTTGTCTTGACTCGTCTTCTTGTGTATGCCAATCTGAATATGGTTACCCAAACCAATCTAGGCACGTCTTCCCTTTCAGTGTTGCTAAGAGCCAAAAAGTCCATCGTCTATCCCAACAGTAATGATGTGCCCAGTTACTTCTATGATCTCATGTTCTGCTCCATTTTTTTTCAAATGAAATAATGTCTAATCTAGGTAACTCTTGGTAGATATAACACAATGACTTAACACAAAAAAAACAATAGAAACGCTTTGGTATTTGGCACATTTAACATTCTGTGAAAATTAGGGTTTCTCATCAACTGGCCCAGCCATCTCCAGTAATAGAAAAAGCAAAGTAAGAGAACTGAAATGAACCAAAAACTGTCTTCCAAAAACATATATAAAATACAGTTAATTGAGCATTTGGGGGCAGAAAAGGTGAAGCTTTCTCTGGGCTTTTGCCCTTTTTGTTGCTAGCTGAGGTCAGTGCGGGATAGGCAAGATGTTGGGAGGGTCAACACGAAGTAGCTGCGTGGAGATCTGCCTCCCAGAAGGATGCCTCACAGAGAAGAACTTCGCATTAAAGCTATGCGGTCCTGCAAAGACACTCCAGGTAGTGTGAGCAGCTTTTCTGCAAGCACAGGACTGGTAATTCTGGCCACCCCGTGTCTGCCTCGTAGTAGAGAGGACTGGAGGGCCCATTCTCTGGGGTTAAGAACTTTGTTGACTCCTGCAACTGTAAGGCAGCTTGAAATGGAACTGCACCTACCGGGTGGGAACAGACCACACTTCAGATATAACTTGCACCTGCCTTAAACGTGTGGCCAGTTTGCTTTAAGATGAGGGCACATGCTACCAAACATCTTGCTGAATATGGCACTGCAGTCCTAATATAGGGGTATTCATGGTAAAGGTGGAAGTGGGACCTTTGTCTTAACAGGGAACCAACTGAATTGGTTAAGATTTTGATCAGATTGGCAGTAATATGCAGTAGTAGACTCAACCAAGAACCACAGACTCTTAGTTTGACATAATCTCGGATATATCATCCAAGGCTTATTCTACACAGGATGTTCAGAGGCCTGGCAGCATCAGCACCACCTGGCAGCTTGTCAGAAACACTCCTAGGTCCCAGCCCAAAACGTCTTCATCGGAAAACGCATTTTCCCCAAATCCCCAGGTGCTACTTCTGCACACCCAAGGTTGACAAACACTGACACACACACCATGGACTACCTCAACTAAAGACTAGTGTCAGTAATGGCTCAGGGAGGAGAGAAGCAGCCCACTTCTAGCCACACCTCCTAGTTTCATAGTTCTAAGTTCTAGGTACCAATGTTCACTGCCAGTAGATCACGTGTGGCGCACAGAAATGGCAGAGGCAGAGCACAACGGCTGCCCTTCCCAGACCTGAGGTCTAAGCTTCAGCTGAAGCTTCGAAGTAAGAGTATCAAATGATTTTATTATGAAAGATAAGCCATTTATTGACCATTCACTTCTAAAAAAACACAAATGTGAGGATAAAATAAACATACCCAAGACTCACTGGCCCCTTCAGGACAGGAAGCAGCCCTGGACAGACAGCCTGCAAACGAGTTTCCTTATGCCTACTGTCTGAACTTCTCACACATTCTAGGATTTCATGTCTCATTACCTATTACAAAGGAAAGGAAACTGGCTAGAAGATTCATGTACAAGAAGGTCATAACTTTAAAGCTATCTGATGCTAATGACTTGTACAATCTGGTTTGCAAATAAACACTGTCAAAGACAACTCCCAGCTAAACTTTACTGTCATTGTTCTCTGAAATTGTCTTTGGGACTGGCTATGTTCTCACTGTAGCTTCCGTTGATTCCACCACACAAACCCTAAAGTCTACGCACAGTCTCCATGTTCAAGTATAAAAGTCTGTTTCAGGACAACCCTGGGTCGCTGTAGTGTTTCTCTCTGTAGTGTCTACTTGGTGTCATGCCCTTGGACAGGCTGGCCAAATGGCAGCACAATGCAGGGGGCGACACAGTCAACTTTCCCACTGCCGAACTTGCTCCCCTTTCAATCTGGTCACTGCCCGTAGTCAGGGTTGAAATCTTGAGATCAGTGACGACCTTGGCCTATCTTCGGTCTGAAGTTGCACTCTTACGTAACCCAATCCACTTCTTCACCAGAAATTAGCTTTCAAAAGGTGTCAGGTATATTCTAAAAAGGAAAGATAATCATATCCAAATGTTATTTAATGATAAGAGACTATATTCACTTTTATGTTCCTAAAGAAATTTACAATTACAAAGACTTAAAATGAATGTTTTACACTCCATATAGGACTCAAGGGCTTCTCTCAACAGAGGCGCAAAAAGACAATCCCGATGCTCTTGCATTGTTCATCACTGATGCTCAAAATGCCCTAGTCAATTCACCTCACTTACTGATTAAGAATAGGCATCCCAGAGAATCTTAAAAAACGAACACCAACATCAGAATGAAGGGATAAAATATACCCCAACGGTCACCAACAATGGCTAAGAGTCCACTGTTAACTTCATCACTGCTCATATACTAATGTCTCCCAAAACCTGCAAAAAGCATTCTTTTGTACATCTAGAGCTTTTTAAAAATTACATTTAATTCCAAATTTAATTTTAAAAGGGGGAGTGTTCCTAACAGAAGAATCCCATGGTAATCAATAGTGGTAAACAAACTCCTTCTAAATTCACGGAAATTGAGTCGCACTCAAAGCGGACTCTGAATCCCATTTAGGATACCACTTCAGAAGGCACTGCTTGATTTTAAATAAAATCGCAAGCCCAAGTTAACTCATGTCCAGGGGAGAGACTCACAAACATTTCAGCAAAATAAGACTCTCATTTGAATCTCCCTTATGCACACCAATCATCCCAGTTGATTTCTAATGAAGCATCTATTCATGGCTTACATGTTTAGCTCTGGTGGAACAGAAAATCCGTCTAATCTCTGATTAGTTCTCAGTAAAAAATGACTCATAACAGTAGGTGAAGCCCATCTGCAGTAAATACTTTCTGAAGGATCCTCAATTATGGCCCACCCCATTCCTATCCATTTTACAGATCTACAAGCCAGAGACGCATGCTCCTGGACAGAAGATAGGATACTGGACCTTAGGAAGTGTCCTGAGATGGAGCTGGAGGGTCCTGGCCTTCAGGCTCTGGAGGGGGTGCTGGCACAGCTGCTTTTTTCTGGGCCGCCAGGAACTCATGAATTGCTCGTTCTATTTGTGGCCTGAAGATGTGGTTAAGTTTTGGATCCACCACCTGAGAAATAATCCTGTCTACTCCAGCTTCCAACATCCCTGACCTTGTGGAGACAAACAGATCATTCTGTTATTTAGTTCCTTCGGGATTCATCTTTAGCCCCAATAAGTGTCATGTGGGAGCCCAATAAATGTCCACCTTCAAAGCTACAGCCCATCCAGGGAGTTTAGAGGTCAATCCACTTACCACATACAGCTCAAGCTATTTTCACTTTCGAGGGGCAATTCTCAACCAGCAGCTGTTATTCCTACTGCACAATCTTATCCACAATCACCCAAACTTGTACAAAGGAGCAAAACAAAACTAAGTGGGCTGCCCCCAAACAACAAATGACAGCGTGGCAAGAAAGAATCTGACACGTGTGGCACTGAAAACCTTCCTCGTACTGTCAAAGTCAGTGAGCTTTGAATTTCACTCCATTTCCTTCAACATTTATTCTCTTGATAGCCTAAGCAGAAGCTCCAGCAGCAACCTGTTTACTAATCCTCACATCTTAAACAAGGCAGATCAGTCAGGGCTGCGAGTATTTACATCACCAGCAACTCACCATGGCCTTCAGCTACGGCTGCTACCTGTGACACATAATAAGCAACTCGGAGGCAAACAAGAAACAGACAAGAAACAAATTAGTTTCCAGCTCTGGAGAGCTAAATTACATCCCCAATCCTTTCTGAAGTAGAGCAAAAGTCAGAGCATATCAATGTCTATATTCAAACACTTGGGACAGGGTACCGGAAATGATGGTGAGAGGAAACAAATCACATTTGGACAGTCTGGAAAACAGTCCATAAGGTTCAAAGTGAAGTGTTCTTCTCAAAGGATTGAAATATTCCAATACCGTCACAAGCATGTGGGCAGGTTTTACTTATTTTCCCGTAGACTTGAGACTTTGGAGGCCATTTAAGCCCTTGGGCAAAAATAGGCCAGGCAGCAACTGGGTAAATAGTCTGTCAGGGCACAGCAAAGGAAAGACATGAGTAAATGTACATCATGACAAAGACGAGAAACAGGCCCTGAACTGGGAAAGATGATTAGTGTGTAAAGTGCTTGCCGGATTCAATGGTAACTAACAGCTTATTGACAGGAAGCCTAGATGTAAATACACCACCACCAGAGCACTGAAGGGCACATTTTCAGGTAGACCAGGCATTCGACAGTATCTGCCCTTAGTGATGAGCATTGTTAAATACAGCAAACTTAGCATCAGGCTATGGGTCAGTTATAAAGCAAAGCCACCTCTCCTTAGTCACAAGCCAATACCTTTCCAACTTTACCAAACCACTTCCTGAGTCGGATTCACAGCGGTCTTTACTAGATGTAAAAGCTTGATATTATGAACTAAATGCCTGTGTCCCCCAAACTTCCTATGTTGAAATCTAATCCTTAATGTGATGGCATTTGGAGGTAGGGCCTTTGGGAGGGGACTGGGTCATGAGGACAGAGCCTCCATGAATGCAATTTATGCCCTTACAAAAGGGACCCCAGGAAGTTCGCTAGCTCTCTTTACACCACACAAGAACAAGAAGTAGTAGGCAGTCTGCTGCCTGGAAGAAGGCCCTCCCCTGAACCTGACCATGCTGCCATCTTGGTCTTGGACTTGTAGACTCCAGAATGGTGAGAAGTAAATTTCCATGGTTTACAAGCCACCTAGTCTACGGCGCTTTGTTAAAGCATCCCCAACTGACCAAAACCCCTGATCAGGGGAAACCAAGTACCAAGGGAGTGCAGCTCACTTTCCTGGAGATTCTTAAAGCTTTTGAGGAAAACATAAAATCTTGTCAGGAGCCTAACGTAGAAGATGAATGAACAAATATTGTATAGTTAAAAGAGTTGTCATAATTCAGTTCAATAGTACAGGCTAATTTCCTGTTAAACCCTCTAGGCTGTGGCACTGGGTTACAGCATCTGGGCCAGAACAGCTAGGCCAGTGAGCCAACGCTCTGAAGGCCTGCAATGTCCATCTGGGGAGAGCACCCGGGGGCAAGCAGAAAGTCTGCGTTTCAAAACTCCAGTAGATTTTGCCTCAAATTCAAAATGCTAGCAAGAATTGTGGAGAAATGTCCCAGTATTAAAGCCAAATTCATGTTTTCAGGTTAAACACATTCTAAGTCAAATCAAAAAGCAGGGGAAAAAAAAAAAATTCACAGAGGTGGTAAAAGCTATGAAGAGAAGAAATGATTGGCGTAAAAGTCAGGAATACGGCAAACTTCTGAAAGGAGGAAGGTATGTCTGGGCCTAGGACAGTATGTTCGGGAGGGTGTGAGTTCATTTCTTGACCTGGGTGATTAAGGGATGTTCTCATTATCTGTTTTACTGTATTTCTGTGCACTTTTTGGTATTACAATTCCTACTAAAGAAATGTAAAAAGAAGTGCCACATGCATTCTTCTAGAATGACATCCATGCTCATTATGGAAATCAACAGCAATGTTAACAGCCTTCATACAATTACGGCAACTTTCCAAGTATTTCAAAATGTTCAATGTTTTGATTTACTCAAGATAGGGTAAACACAAGTGACTTCAGCTGTGAAATAGGTTTTTCGTGAGAATGAGTGATATACGTAAAGACCAGTGCCAGACATGTAATAAAGAGTTGCTCAGTAAGGGGCAGCTACTGTCCCCTTCTTTCTGAAAGAGCCCGGTGCCACCAGTCTGCTCTCTGCAAAAAGGGAAAGGCACTCAGTACTGACCCCAGAATGACAAGGCACCGGGCATCTTCTGGTATCAGGCTTCTTCCCAGCATTCAGCCATATCAGAAGTACTAGCCTGTTAGTAAAACACTTTTAAAAACTTTAAAAATCTAAAAATCACTGCAGATTCACAGAGGTTGTGAAGTGTCCAGGGAGTTCCACATGCACCCTTCACCCAGCCAGCTCTAATGTTAGCACCTTGCATAACTACAGTGCAATTTCAAAACCAGGAAAATGACACTGGTCCAATCCAGACCTTATTTAGACTTCAGTTACACTTGCACTGACTTGTGTGTGTAGCTCCATGCAACTCTACGAGTTGCTGCACATAAGCACAGCACAACTCAGATACTTTTTTTTTTTTTTTAAATTATTATTATACTTTAAGTTGTAGGGTACATGTGCATAACGTGCAGGTTTGTTACATATGTATACTTGTGCCATGTTGGTGTGCTGCACCCATCAACTCGTCATTTACATCAGGTATAACTCCCAATGCAATCCCTCCCCCCTCCCCCCTCCCCATGATAGGCCCCGGTGTGTGATGTTCCCCTTCCCGAGTCCAAGTGATCTCATTGTTCAGTTCCCACCTATGAGTAAGAACATGCGGTGTTTGGTTTTCTGTTCTTGTGATAGTTTGCTAAGAATGATGGTTTCCAGCTGCATCCATGTCCCTACAAAGGACACAAACTCATCCTTTTTTATGGCTGCATAGTATTCCATGGTACAACTCAGATACTTAACTACACTATCTCAAGTTCCCCTCATGCTACCACTTTCAAGTCACACTCGCCCCTCCTCCCATCACTACCCCCAGGCAATCACTAATGTGTTCTCCCATTTCAGTAACTGTTAGCTCATGAATGTTATGACCAGATTCCATGACCCTCCTCCACTTTTGTGCCCAGTGACAGTGAAAAGTCACTCTGATAAGCTATCAATAGCACCTTCATTAACTAAGGTTCAGTTTGTTACTGTGAAGTACAATACTTTGTCAAGACTATGCCTTCCTGAAAGCTGCCACCATTACACTTTAGAGGTGGCAGCCCTGGTGGACTCAAAGAATTTAACTTACATTCACCTGTGAGAATAAAGATCCAGCTCCTCTTGCCCAAGATCCAAACCCTGATATCTTGGTATAAAACTCACATATATGTTTGGACGACACTGAAACTTCAAAGAGCAGGGAACATGCCTCATAATTTGGAATGTCTTTCGATGCACCAGCAGAGATGCACACAAGAGGCCTTCACAGGCTGCAGAAACTGGAATTTCAATTGAGTACTTTGCTTACTTTAACCTTAACTGTAATAAAGGAGCAGACTGCTGCAGCTCCTAAGTGACACTTGATATAAAGTCCCATCAACCTTGACTAAACAGAGACCTCTACCTTCTTGTGCATCACACTCGTGATTACTGCCTTTTCAAAAGCTTTAAATTCTGCTTACTTACTGAACCACACTCTGCCTCAGACCATTTCGCAATTGGTTTTTGTTCATTGTAGGATTCCATTCCTGCTTGTCCAGATGTGTTGACACAAAATTATCCACTTTCTGCCTCAGGTTTTGGTAAGCTGGCTAAAATGTTAAAAAGAGGAGGCAAGGTCAGAAGTTACATGCACCAGGGTTTTGAACTTAGTCTCTCAGAACATTGCTTTTCACAGAAACGTTATCAAGCCTAAATACACTTCTGTTATGCATGAAGATCACCATGCAGTGTGGCAGTCAGAAATTAATGGTTAACACAAATGCCCACTCGATGGTGGGTGGGCACAATGCCAGGTGCTTTACTTATATTATTCCATTTACTTTTAAGTAACTCTACATGCAGCAGGCCTGACATCAACCCACAGCCTGGACCCACACCTGGGCAGCCTGCAGCCAAGCCACCAGCTGAAGCCTTCCTAGCTGCCCCGTGACCATGTGAACCGTGCTGGTTATAAGCTGCTGGGGTTCAGTTTGTTATGCAGCATTACTGTGGCAAAGTTTGCTAACAGGGAAATGAAGTTGGCAAAGGAACCAGCAGCCCTCAATTCCACAACCGGCCTCTTCCGAAAGGCTGAGAAAGCAAACTCAAAGACTCCACTAAACCTGGAAAAGAGAAAGGCAAGGAAATGGGGGCAGAGGAGTAAAATTCACTGATACCATGTGCTATCTGCCTAGCAACGCCTTCTTTCTAGTAACTGTCTTCCTCTTTTCATGAGGGTAGGGCAGAGGGTGCCACAGGAGTGGGTGCCTGAGCCATGCTAAGACAATGCAGACATTCCCTGGGATTTCCCAAATTGGAACTGAGTCTCTCGAGAGGAAGAAGCTGTAAAATGTAATCAAGAGATGCTAGTAACCACATGGATGACTCCACTCTGAAGCAACAGTAACACAGGTATCAACAGAGATGAAAGACATAGAATGAGTGGGGAATATCTGGTTCCAAATGCATGCCTACCCTCTGGGAGAGTTCGTTCATTCAATCCTTCCTTGGATTCCATGAGGCAATAGATTCTCCCCTTTGCATAAAGCAGTTAGGATTATTTTTGTCCCTTGTAAGCATAAATCCTGATACCACACCTTCTACTCAGAAGAACTCACCTGGTTTGAGACGATACAAACTGTTTACTGAAAAAGGACAAAGGACAGTGAACATCACCACCAAAACATGTAACAAACCCAGGCGATACAGAATCATCTCAGTTCAAGAAGTCAAAGGAACTCATGAGCCCACTCAACGTTTTACTGTACTACCAACCACTCCACCTGTTCACTTATCAGTTCTATTTGCTTTTGGATGCACTGCAAAGTAAATTACAGACATCTGTTCAATTTCCCCTAATTACTTCAGCAGTCTGGGGTGGGGCCCAATATGTGCAGTTCTAACAAGTTCTCAGGTGATGCTGGTGTTAATCCAAGCACCACACTTTGAGAACCATTGGGCTAAAGCAACGAAGGTCTCAGATAACATATGCCTGAAAAAACATTATCTTCAAGAATTAAAACAACCTGTAATAGAAGGAACAGCTAAGGAGCTGTACATGGGAAGGTTCCAACCACTCTCCCTCAACAGCCGCTCAAGACAGTAGTCCCTTTCCCCTCAGGGGATCCGTTCCAAGACCCCCAGTGGGTGCCTGAAACCTCAGGTAGTACTGAACCCTATACACACTACGCATGAATTTCTTTGAGGGCCATTACAAAGTAAAATAAGGGTTACCTGAACACAAGTACTTCCATACCGCAACAATTGGGTAAATGAAACTGCAGAAAGCAAAACTTTGGATGGGGCGGGCTACTGTAGTCGTTTTTGTTTTAAAATCACACACAAAACCTAACGGAATATAAGAAATATGAATGGAGAATTTGTCCTAGGAAAGGCGAAAGCTCTGTCAATACATATCTGGGATGTATATGTATGAAATTACTTTCTTTCAAGGACAGTACTTCTAGCTGGGATTTTCATCTTGGAGAAGTAACAGTGTATACCACTTTCTCTCTCTACATACGTATTTACCACCATTACAGGTCAGTTTTCTATCCTAGACTATAAGCTTTGAGGATGGGGTAGTGACTTATTCCTGTAATCACACAGTTTGGCAACTAGAGGCCAATAAACGTTCAATGAATAAACAGACTAGGGTTTTTCCCTATCTTAAGGTCTAATTCTAAGCTCACAATCTTGCTGTGAGGTAAGCAAAATGTTTCCATGACAGGCTTGGGTAGGAGAAATTACTACCCTGTAGGAGTCCAGTGACAAGAGTCTCCTAACCTACAACCAGAGTCGTGGTTAGGCAAGTTTTGAAAAGGGAGAAAATGAACATTCCAGCAACTACTGTATGTCTGATACTTAACACCCATTATTTCACTGAATCCAAACCACTTTGACAAGTAGGTAAAGTGAAATAGTGTTTTATCGGTGGGACTGACCTATGGCATTAAGATCTAAACTAGGCACCAAATCTCCTTTAATCAATGATGAAGTGCAAAATAAGGGTGCTGTTTCTACAATTTATCTTAATTCAACGCCGTACTAAAGTCTGCAAAACACTGAGCTAGAGAAAAAGAATAAACAGTTATAAAATGGTGAAGACTGCGTGTTCAAATCATTGTGTTTAATGCCAGCTTCTCAGTGGTGAGTACGGAACAGGTGGAAATTCTAAAGCACGCTTGCTTAACTACTTGGTTTCGAAGTTTGTTACTAAGGGCCTTAGAGGAGTTCCATCTTGGGAATGACAGGGTCTAGGCTCTAAAATCCACATCCAAACCCCAAGTTCGGAGAAGCGACTGGGTAAAATCACAGCTAGTAAATGACCAGGCGGGAACCCACGTGTGCATCGCTCAGAAAGTTCTCCGTACTGCCCCAAGCGGTGTAAGACCTCACTGCTGAGATTTTTAAGCTATCTTTTGTTTTGCTCTCGGCTTTCGAAAATCAGAGCTGCAACCCAGCGGCCTCACGTGCAGCCCCGCTCCCCTACGCCCAGGCGGCCGCAGCTACCTTGGTGTCCACGTCGGCCAGGCAGTCCCGGCGGAAGCTGTCAAAAAGGCCCCGGCTCTTGAGCTGCTCCACGATGAGAGCGATGAGCTGCGGGTCGCCGGGAGGCAGCGAGGCCGGGTTGATGGGGCCACCGCCCCCGCTGGCCCCAGTAGCGCCAGTCGCTGCCCCGGCAGAGGCCTGGCCCGCTCCGCCACCGCCCACCGCGCCCGCTCCCCCGCCGCCGCCGCCGTCCGCCATGGCTGTGCCCCGGGCCCACAGGGGAGACCGATAATAGCTTCTTCTCCAAGACAGAAGGCCTTGAACGTGTAGAGGTGGAGAACGGGGCGGTGAAGGAGGAGGGCCCCAAGGTGGCAGCGGCGGAGGTGACGGTGGTGGTGGCGGCGGTGGCGGCGGCGATGGCGGCGGGGGCGGTGGTGGGGGCGGCGGCGGCGAAGGCCAGCTCTGAGACAGCAGAGGTTGGGGCAGATGCGGCAGAAACTGCCTGCTCGATTCCAGGCGCGCCCTAGATGGCGTCGCCGTTGGCCTTTGCATTGTGGGGCGGGAAGTTTTCTGTAGCCATCTCCGGCGTTCTTTATAGGCAGCGGCCTAGCAAGGGAAACTACAACTCCCGGCAGGGCTCTGGCTTGCTCGTCGCTATTTCGCGGGGCAATATGGGAATTGTAGGCGCACTCCTCGTGATCGCTGCAACCCGCCTGGCCTTCCCCGCCCACTCTCTGCTGACTTCCCATTCAATCAACACGTCCCAGGAGTGCCTGATTGTAACAGTCATCTGTGGAGCTGATTAAAAGTATAGATTACCAGAATTATTTCTTAAAGATTTTGACCTAGTATTTACGGATCGAGACCTAGCAATCCGTGCTTTTAGCATGCACCCCCATGTCCTCCTTGAACAACATGTTCCGGGAAATTCCGGAAAAGTTGAAACAGTCAAACTTCTATTGTTCAGAAATTTGTGGGTTTCTCTCCTTTTGGTGTTAATAGCAATGCATACTCATTTTAGAAAATTGGAAAATAACGGAAAAGTGTGAAGAAGAAAATAAAAGTTTTCGTTGTCTCTCTTATATGTGTGTGGATTTCCTCCCAAATATTAAATATTGTCAATAATAATAAGCCAATATTGAATAATTAAAAAGTACCAGGAGTGATGCTATGCACTTTGCACGCACTGCTTCACAATAATCTAAAAAGCAGGCACATACTACCATTATTGCTATTTACAGACGTAGAAATGGAGGCAGAGAAAGTTTGTTAACCTAATCACATACCTAGAGGTAGAAGAGTAGGATTTGAACCCAGGTTTTGAGGATCTAAATCTCGCTTGTTTAACCTGAGGTATCCTGAGAGCTAGTTGGTATCCCACAATAGGTAAGGCTTTATATCCTGAGTTTTTTTAAGTAGCCACAATTCACCATTGGAATCCCATAGCTGCCACCATTATCCTCTCTTCCCTTCATCTTTTGCCTATTGTTAGCTCAACTTCCCCCGCCCAACCTCAGCAATTATATCTGCTATTGTTATTTCCTCATCCTACACAAGCAGTAGAGGGGATGTAAATATCAAATTCTGCAATATCCTTGGCTCCTGGGAAGATGCAGAATTGGCAAAGATCCAGGATGTTCTCCACACCAATATTTAGTACTCAGACAGTTTAAATTTTTTTTTTTTTTTTTTTTTTTTTTTGAGACGGAGTCTCACTGTATCACCCAGGCTGGAGTGCAGTGGTGTGATCTTGGCTCACTGCAGCCTCTGCTTCCTGGGTTCAAGCGATTCTTCTGCCTCAGCCTCCTGAGTAACTGGGATTACAGGCTCATGCCACCACACCTGGCTAATTTTAGTATTTTTAGTAGAGGTGGGGGTTTCCCATGTTGGCCAGGCTGGTCTCGAATTCCTGACCTCAAGTGATCTACCCGACTCGGCCTCCCAAAGTGCTGGGATTACAGGTGTGAGCCACTGCACACCTGGCCAAGAGAGTTTAACCCTCAATGTTGGATTATACTCATCCTCTAACACCAGCTCAATCATTCACAATGGGTCAGTTAATGACAAACATTCTTTCTTGATAGCTCACCATCTTTGAGATTACCTAATGTCTGTTTCTACTGGTTGACTCCACACTGATCACTCACCTTCAGCCCCTGGAGAAGCTCAGTTCAGGCTGCCTCAGCTCCAGGTTCTTTCTTCTACAAGCCCCTGATCACTCTGACTAGTCCCTTCTCCATTTTTGGCACCCCACACCTTATTCTCCTTCCTCAGGGAAAATTCTTCTGACCCCTAGATCCAATGAGGTCTTTCTTGCATGCGCAGACACTCAAAGCCTCATTTTTTGTAGCAATTATTATAATTGGAAGTGAATGAGTTGCAGACAAATTGGCCACCTGTGTCCCCTGATAGAGTGTAAGATTTAGAACAGGGACCATGACTTGTTCATCACTGTGTCTCCAGCTCTTGGCACAATAGTTCTTAGCTCAAAGAGAATGTATAAATTCCTGTCTGTTTCCTAAAGCTGTGGGATAGCGTCACAGAGTGTGTGGGTAGGATTATGTATAGCCATACTCTTCAGAAAAGAAGGAGCATTCTAGTAGGAGATGATGGATGAATCTGTCATGACTTAAATGGGTAAGTGATCCTGGAGATTGTCTGCACATGTTCACACTGTGACAATTTCACTGTCTGTTATGGGGACCTGTGTCCTGGTTGCTGGGTCTCTGAATGTTGACAAGAGGGCTGCATTCTGTATCCATGACCTTCCCTCTGGAATCGAAGTAAATGGTGAGGGATAAAAGGGGAAGGGGATGAGGAGTGAAGATGATCAAGCCAAAGGGAGGCTTATTGTTTATCCAAACCGTGGAATAGGAGGCCTCCACGACATCCAAAATGTATTCTTCCCCAATCAAGAGACATGTAATACACACCAGCAGTCATCAGAGAGCGCCATTGCTGTATTAATAATCCCAAACATTAGGAAATGCCTGTGCGGAATACGGTTTTAACTTTGGCGTAGGTAGTAATCTGGTTTTCAGGTATCCTTCACGTAGCAAATTCTTGTTGCTTCTCAGCGTTAAAACTTGTCTGTATTAAGTTGCCCAACCCCAAAGATTTACACATTTTAGGTGCCGAAATATTTTTTGTCGAAGGCTACGTGAAAAAGTAGAACTTCCACAAGCCCAAATCTAGACCTCACAGAAACTGGAAAGAAATCAGATCTATCGTTTGCCAAGGGAGATATAAGAAAGTAGTCAAATGTGTGGACTTTTTGTATCAGGTGACACTGGATTGGAATCCCAGCTGGCAAAGCTGAATCACCTCTCTGAACCTTAGTTTCCCCAGGACAGCGGAGAGGCTTAAGTGCCATTTTGGCAATCCATTTTAGCACAATTCTTGGTCTTTAGCAAATGTTTAATAGCATATTATCATCATGAATTTACATTTGGGTCAGGAGGTTATTTAATTAACTTCTATTTCTCCTCTTAGCCTCTAAATTCCACAAAGGCACGGACTGTCTGTTTCAACCATCGTTGCATCCCTAGCAACAAGAGGACCCGGGACATCAGGCTCTCCACAAATACATGATGGATAAATTAAAAAAAAAAAAAAAAAAAAAAAAAGGAAGGATGAGTGATTGGGAAGTTTACTCTTCTAGGTGTAGGATAAGGCCATTTAAGACTTTTGACACTGCCCTGGACCAAATGTCAGAATGTCAATATTCAGAGGGGTCAAGTACAATCTAGGGATCTGTCCATAATGTGTGACTAAACTGGACTAAGAGTCTGGGGCTTGGAGCAGGCCCAAGGTTAGAAGATGATCTGGGAGTTGCCCTGGTACCCTTCCAACCTTCTAATCGAAGATCCTGGTCCTGCAGCGAGAGCATTCCAGAGCCCTAAGCCTGAGTCCAGGGCTGCATTTAGACAGCACACTTGCTTGGGGTAGACTAGTTATTGGTCCTTATTTGTGATCATGAGGTGGCTCTTTTTCTTCTTACCTGTGTATATTCATCCGAGGAGTCTTGCCAATTCTTAGTCCGGACAGCTGTTCATTTCTTCATTAACAGCATCCAGAGTTTCTTGAGATTGCCTTGTCTATAGCATTTTGGCTACATCTGCACCCTCTGATCCCTGCTTCTTTTTTTTTCGTTTGTTTCCTTTTGATGTTTTCCAGCATCTCTAATGATAGATTGGATCCGACACACATTTGAAAAAACAGGGTTTTAGTAAACACGAATCCCCAGCACCAAGCAACACTACTGCCGTCTCCCCAGCCAAATATGCATCTTGGACAAGATTTTACGCCACCGTGTTTTTAACACATTGTCATGTCAAAGTATTATTAATAAGGGGTGTATAGTGAAAGAGGCGACCTGATGTAATACAGAGAAAAAGGTGAGACCTTTGAAGTTTGGTTTACGTTTGGATCCAGCACCTCTGCTTATTGGCTGTGTGACCTAGGGCAATCCATTAGCCTGACTGAGCCTCCATTTGCTCATCTGTAAAGTGGGGATAGTAATACCTACCTTGAAGAACTGCCAAAAAATTAGAGACACTATGTGTGTAGAACCTGATACAGAGTAGGCCCTCAATAGCTAATAACTAATAATGTGGTCTTGATACAACTTCCTGATGTATTTAATTGTAGCCTATTATTGGGCAGAAATCTTGGCTAATGTGTATGTAGAGTTAACACTAATAAATGTATTAGTTTGATAGTTTCAATCTTATGAGGACATAGGGATCGACTCAGCCAGTCTCTAAATTGGTGGACTCAGTGGAGCCAAGTTCATGGCCAAATCCTGCATGCTTCTGCTGCTGGGTCTGGATCCATCCTCTACCTCTGTCTTCACACTTCGTGTTCTCTAGCAACACTCCCTCTGCCCCCAGTCACTTCTAGGTGCCTACCCAATATCCATTTCCCCTAATTTATAAACAGGACCCAATTTTGTTTGGGGCTGCAGCACGTCTGGCTAAAGTATATACATCTGTGATTTCCTTGTTGCTAAGAGTGACCGTAGGGCCCAGTTCCGGCTGCGGAGAGAGAAACTGAGGGTTTCTGGGAAAGCTTTGCCTTGCTGATAGAAGCAGCACCCCTTCCTGCTGTAGCATCCTTCCTTCTTCCTGCAGGGAGGTTCAGCACTCAAGAACCAACACCCTAAGGGTTAGCTGGGGCCATGTTACTAGTTCTGGCCAAAGAGTCGTGAGCAGAAGTGACTTGTGTCACTTCTAGACCAGGCCATTTTCATACCAACATGAGACCTCCCAGAGCTCTCTTTCCACCTGCCGTGGTAACCAGGAAAATTTGAGATGATGGCGAATCCATCCTCCTGGGCCTCAAAGCGAGGTGACACGGAGCAGAGGCCCCAGATAACCCGACATATAACATGAGTGAGAAAGAGACTGTTTGTTTCAAGCCACTGAGATTTAGAGTTGTTTGTGACTGTGGCATAACCTGGCCTATCCTGCCTGATACAATCCTGAGCACGTTCCTCCACTAAAGCCGTCACTTTTGGAATGACCAAAGATGGAAACTAATGAGTGAATAAATGCGCGAGTGAATCAGATTTCTTCCCCAGGGCCCTGTGCCTTCAGATAATTCCTGTGAGTGACCATAAGTTAACCTAGTTTACTCTATGTCTCCTTGAGACAACTTAGGTCAGTCCTTCTTTAACTTTGTTGTTTATTGAAATTCCCCAAGGACCTCGTTAAAACATACAGGTGCTCAGTCATCCTGCCAAATCCACAGAATGGATCTGTAGAGACAGGCCATGGCCGTTTACATTTTTAAGCACGTTTTCAAGGGGGTTCTGAGAGTGGACCAGGGTGGGAAACTGTTGTTTCTCTGGGTAGAAACATCAGATCCATCAACGGAGCCGAAAGAGAGATTATTTTCCACACGTG